ACCTTAAACTTGTAACCCGGCATTTCCCCTGGCCAATTTACCTGCTCTGCACAGATGCAGGGAGAAAGTGCGAGCTCCATACAGACAGTCACCCAAAGGTGAAATCGAACGCTGGTTCTGTGAAGCAGCAGTGCTAGCCAATGAGCCACCATGCCTCCCCTGCCCACCATTGACACTTCCCAGTCTCTCAGTGTTTAAGCAATACCCTGTCTTTCAATTTTCTCTAGATATAGGGCAATTAATAGATGTACTATACATGAATTGCTCAAAGGCATTTGATAAGCCATGTAATAGGTTAATAGGCAAGAAAAGGGGTTCATGGAATTGTGGGTGATGTGTTAACATACATTGAAATACTCAAGTTGCCTAACAGCAGCAGTTTCCTGTCACACCAGCGACATACTTTGCCTGAATTCTGCAGAAGGAGAAGTTAAGTAAAACTATTGACTCATGAGCACTCTCAATATGAGAAGGGCTTGGTCAAAACACACATGATGAGAGTGAGACAGAGGCGGTGACTAATTGGTAATTTGTGTAAATGGATTAATTGGGACTTCGCAGCCCGGATTAGAAATTGGCTTGAGGGTGGGAAACAGAGTGTAGGTATAGATTAGCATTTCTCAGACAGGAGATGAATTAAAAGTGGCATTCCCCACGGACTGGTGTTGAAACCCTTGTATTTTTTTCCTGATTCATATATATCTCAGATTGTAACCAATGTGTGATCTCTACATCTTGGTAGGCCTGATCTGGAGATGGGTGTTGAGGATAAAATCTCTAAATTTGCAGAAGATACTAAGCTTGGGAGAATAGTGAACTGTGAGAATGACGTTGAGCGACTTCAGAGGGACACTGACAAATTGGCCAAATTGAAGACTCCTCAATGCAGAGAAATGTGAGATAATGCATTTTGGTTGAAGAAACATGGAGAAATAATACAGGCTCAATGGTGCAAAGGGATCTCGGGGTTCCTGTACATAATTCACTAAAGGAGGCTGGATAAGTTGATACAGATATTAAGAAGGTTTATAGGATCCTCAGGTTTATAAACAGAAGCACAGAGTATAAAACCAAGGAAGTGATTCTGCATCTCTCCAAATCATTGATCAGACTACATTTGGAATATTGTGTTTGGTTCTGAGCACTTTATTTAAGGATGTTAAAACCCTGGAGAGAGTGATTTACCAGAATGATACCAGGAATGAGGGAGTTTAGATACAAGGAAAGATTAGAGAAATTAGGCTTTTTATCTGTGGAGCAGAGAAGATTAGGAGATGATCTTATTGGCGCGTTCAAAATGGCCAACAATTTTGACAAGGTAAAGAAGGATATGCTGTTTCTATTAGTGGGTATGTCAGTAACTCAGCGTCACAATTTCAAGATTGCCAGCAAGAGAGCTGGGAGTGAGATTAGGAGAAACTTCTTTACTCAAAGAGTTGTTAGGATTTGGAGCACGCTGCCTGAGAGATTTGTAGAGGTAGATTCCATACGGGGTTTCAAAAGAGAGCCAGATATATATTTGAAAATGATGATGTTAGAGTGCTATGGAGACAAGGCTGGAGAATGAAACCACCTGAATAGCTCTTTTAGGAGCCAGTACAGACACAGTAGGTCGAATGGCCTCTTTCTGAACTATAAAATTCTATGATTCCAAGTGCGAATTCGAGGCAGGGGGGGTAAGCGGTATTTTAATAAAAATCTCCAGAGCAAGAAATGACAGGGGCAGGAAATGAGATGTAGATCGAGAGGCCTACCTGCATTTAATATGATGTTGGGAGTGCAGGGAAACGTGCTGATTAGTGAGTAGGTTTGGTCAGTATTTCTAATCTTTAAAGGGTAAATTTGGTATTCAGTTTGTATTTAAGCCTCTGGACATTTTTTTTTGCTGTCTTCTTTTCTGAGAAATAGCTTCTAACATTTTCACAGTAAGTTTATTTTGAATTGAAGGTTAGCAAATAGCGTTGACAGGTGCTGGACACCCTGCAGTATGCATGAAGTCATGGACATACCATGTGTCCCAGACAAACACATCTACAGGAAGTGTCCTCAGCTGCACAAGCTCCAGCTCCGGGTTTCGGAACTTGAGGAGCAGCTGGAAAAACTGTTGAGTATCTGCAAGGCGAATGGTTATGTGGTCAGCGCGTATAGGGTGATGGTCACACCCGCAGATTAGATCGGTGTAAGCAGGGAGGGAATGCGGGACTATTAGGCAGTTTAAGAAAACCAGGAGGGTAGTGCAGGACTCTCCTGAGTCCATCGTGCTAGCCAATTGGTATTCCGCTGCAGAAATGGGAGAGCGCAATGGTCTTCATGACAGTGCAACCAGAACCAAGCCGCAGGGGAGGAATAAGAAGAATGGGAGAGCAATAGTTAAAGGGGATCATCAGAAATTATAGTGGCAGTAAAGGTGATTCCAGGATGGTGTGTTGCCTCCCTGCTGCCAAGCTCAATAATAGCAGGGAGCAGCTGCAGGGCATCCTTCTGGAGGAGGGAGGTCAGTCACAGTCCACACTGATACTAAGGACACAAGTAGGAAGAGGGACGAAGTCCTGAAGCAGATTTCAGAGAGTTTGGCAGAAAACAGGTCTTCACAAACAGTAATCTCTGGATAACTTCCAGGGCCACATGTGAACTAGGCATTAGAACAGGAGGACAGACCCTTTGAACACATTACTGGAGCACTAGTGTAGGAAGGAGGACATCAGATTCCTGACACAGTTCTGGGGCAGGTAGGACCTGTACACCTGTACGGGTTACGCCTTAACATGCCGCCACTGATATCCTCACAGGGAGGTTTACTTGTGCTGCTGGGCTGGAGTTTAAACTAGCTCATCAGAGGGTTGGAAACCTGAGGGGTAACCCAAACTGAAAGGAAGTGACATTAGTAACAGGAAGTTGAAAAGATGCTCAGGAAGCAAGGAACAAGAAACAAAGCTGAGCATCAAGTGTATTTCAAAAGTGGAATGATATCAGAGGGACAAAGTTAAGGGCACTCTACTTGTATACTCACAGCATTCACAACAAAGACGATAATCTAAAAGGCATCAAAAGAGATATGTGGGTATGATCTAATTGCCATGACAGAAACATGATTGCAGGGTGACCGGGACTAGGAACTGAATATTCAACATTTAGGATGCTAGACAAGAAGGAAAACTTGTACTGATAATAAGGGATGGGATCAATACATTATTAAAGGAAGATCTCAGAATGGAAGAGCAAAACGTAAAATCTAAGAAATATCAAGGGAGTAGCAGACATTGGTTGGAGCTATTTATAGGCCACCAAATAGGTGTGGTAATATGGGGCATGGCATTAATCAGGAAATGACAGAAGCACATAGCTTGGGCAATGAGTGACGACAGTATGTACAGGCACTGGGTAAACCAATTCAGCACTAAAACTGTGGAGAACGAGTTTCTGGAGGGTGCTAGGGATGGTTCTCTGAAGCAGCAAGTTGAGGATGTGCTCGTTCTAGATTTAGTATTTTGTAATGAAAAAGGGGAAATTAATGATCTTGTTGTAAAAGAACTTTTAGCGAAGAGTGATCACAATATTGCATTATGTTTGAAATGGAGGTAGTTCATTCTGAAACAGAGGTGTTAAATTTGGATAAGGGATATTATGAAAGCATGAGGCTCAAATTGGCTGAGGTGGATTGGGAAAATACATATCAAGGCATAACTGAACATGGGTAAATGAAAATAAACTAAGGCAAAGGGAAGCCAAGGCACTAACCCAAGGACACTTAAGGAAATAGAGTCACATCTATTCATATTATCCTTTCTACATGCCCCTTACTCCCTACTATCTCATGGCAACAGCCCCTCCAACATCCCTACAAGTTGCTGGTGAGTATTTAGGCAGGGGGTGGTACTTAGGACTGTCCTGCTCTGTGTTTCTGGGCCTCAGCCCCATACTGGGTGAATTGGGAGCTGCCATGAGTTTGGCCTGACTTCAGGGCTTGAGCCAATTGCATTAATGTTGGAATCTGGAGGTAGTACTCACCCACATGGTTATCAGAGAATACTGCAAAAGAGAGAAAAAGAAGAGATTGAATGTCTGAGGAAGAGGCCTCCGGAAAAATAACAAAAAATATCAACACCAGTTTCTCCTGGTTCAGAGGACAGGAGAATAGGAGACTAAGTTGGGGGAGGGGGCACTGACTGGGGAAGTGAGAAAGAGGGGAGGGTGGGGAAGGATACAGAAGGAGACACAGAGGAAGATGAGAGTCCCAGAGACAATTAAAGCAGCAGGGACAGGGAGAGGAGGAAGACTGAGAGGGAAAGAGAGACAGAGAAGGAGAAAGGGAGACAGAGAAATGAGGCGAGAGAGAGAGAGAGACAGACAGAGACAAACTGAAAGAGTCGGGGGAGAGAGAGAGAGACAGTGTTGGGGAAAAGGGAGAGAGACAGGCTGAGACAGTTAAGCAGAGAGAAAAAGAGAAATAGAGAGAGAGGAACAGAGGCAGAAGGAGATGCAGAGAGAAGAGAGAGGAGCAGAGAGAGATAGAGACAGACATAGTGAGAGACAGAGAAAGAGAGTGGGAGAGGTATTCGAAGATAGACACAGCAAGATAGAGAGAGATAAAGAGAAATAAACAGAGAGGACGGCAACAGTGAAACATAGAGACAGAGAGAGAGTGAATGAAATAGAGAAATCATGAGAGGGATGGAGTCAGTTAGAAAGAAGAATGAAACACATTGAGACAGAAGGCGACAAAGAGAGATGGAGTGAGAGACAGAGAGATAGAGGAACAGGGACAGAGAGAGGAAGAAAGACTGTGACAGAAAGAAACATAAAGAGACAGAGAGAGACAGGCAGACTCACAAAGACAGAGAAACATATAAGGAGAGATATACACAGAGACAAAGAGAGTCGCTACAGTGAGAGAAAGGGAGAGAGAGGTACTGGGGCAGAAGACTGGGGGATGGGAGAAGTGAGAAGTCTGTCAGATTGGGGAGTTGGAGGAATGCAAGGAATAGACTGAGAAATCTCACCTTTTCCTGAACAGCTGTGAAATTCTCGTTTAATGTCACAATCCTGAACTTCACTGAAAGACAGAAAAGCACAGTAAGATTCCAAATGCTGAGACCAGCCATGGGGGGAATCCCACAATCCAGAGATTTCACAGTGAATGTCAATCGTCTAGGATCTGTACTCAAGGCCAGTCCCTGAACGAGGCAGTCAACTGTAACACAGATATAGGTTGAGGCCATTCAGCCCCTTTTTGATTCTGTTATACAGAAAACATGGCCATTCACCCTACTTGAGGCTGTGAGGCAGGAAATGGAGACCATTCAGCCCCTCTCAAGCCTGATGAGCAGGAAAAAGAGGAGGTCATTCTGTCCTGCTTGAGACTGCTACACAGGAACAAGAGGAGGACAGACAAACTGTTGAACAACTCTTCTATTAATTTAGATCTAATTTGGAAATTACTTCCTCCATTTACCTTAGTTTCACGCAATCATAGTCATACAGTATGGAAACATGCCCTTCAGCCCAAATCTCCATGCCAACAAATTTTCCTAAATTGAACTAGTTCCATTCGCCTGCTTATGGCCCATATTTCTCGAAACCCTTCCTATCTATGTACCTATCTTTTAAATGTTGTAATTATACTCACCTCTATCACTTCCTTTGGCAGCTCATTCTGCATACATCCCTCAGGCCCCCTTTAAATCTTTGCCCTTTCAATTTAAATCTATGCCATCTAATTTTGGACTCCCTACCCAGGGGAAAAAACCTTGGCTATTTACCATATCTATGCTCCTCATGATTTTATAAACCTCTTTGTGGTCACCCCTCAGCCTCCAATGCTCCAGGGAAAAATGTCCTAGCCTATCCAGGTAAGCCAAACATTCAAATCTCAGTAATGTCCTTGTAAATCTTTTCTGCACCCTTTCCAGTTTGATAACATCCTGCTTATAGCAGGGTGACCAGAATTATGTGCAGAACTCCAAATGTGGCCTTTCCAATGTCTTGTACATCCGCAACATGATGTCCCAACTCCTATACTCACTGCTCTGACCGACGAAGACAAGCATGCCAAACACCTTCTTCACCATCATCTACCTGGATTAATAGCTTTTAAAAATCTTCACATAAATTTAAGGTTTATCAATGAAACTGCCAGGCCAGCATGCCCCATGACTCATACCCCCACTCCTACCACTGCATGCATGAGGGTCAACAGTTTCTCCAGTTGCAGATGTCCCCTGGCCTTGAGGATGTGTATCTCGCATTGCTCCTGAACAGCCAAGCTCTCCTGTTCAACCTGCAAACTATTTAGACAAGGTGCATGTGGGATGGATCGCGCTGGCTGAGTCCATTTCAAAACTGGTGAGGTTTGTAGAACTGGCATTTCGAATGGATTTCAAAATGATTGAGGATATGTGGGGATTGCTGGCTGGGCCACCATTTTATTGTCCCCTAGTTTTCTTTCAGAAGGTGATGGTGAGCTGCCTTTTTGAACTGCTCCAGTCCACTTGCTGTAGGCTCAGCCACAATGATGTTAGGAAGGGAATTCCAGGACGTTGACCCAGCGACACTGAAAGAACGGTGATATATTTCAAAGTCAGGGTGGACAGTGGCTCAGAGGGGAACTTGCAGGGGATAATGTTCGCATGTACCTGCTGCCCTTGTCCTTCTAGATGGAAGTGTTTGTGGGTTCGGGTCATGCTGTGTAAGGATCTTTCTTCAAATTCTGCAGTGCATCTTGTAGATAGTACACACTGCTGCTACTGACCATCGGTGGTGGAGGGAATGGATGTTTGTGGAATTGATGCCAATCAAGTGGGCTGCTTTGTCCTGGATGGCATCTTGAGTGTTGTTGGAGCTGCACTCATCCAGGCAAGTAGGGACTATTCCATCACACTCCTAATTTGTGCCTTGCGGATGGTGGACAGGTATTGGGGAGTTAGGCGAGTTACTCACTGCAGGATTCCCAGCTCTTGTAGCCACTGTATTTATATGTCTCCTCTGGTTGAGTTTCTGGTGAATGGTAACCCTGCAGGATGTTGGGGTATTCAGTGATGGTGAAAACACTGAATGTTAATGGGTAATGTTTAAATACTCTCTTATTGGTGATAATTATTGCCTGACACTTGAGAGGCACAATTGTAGGGGATTCAGTGATAATAATGTCCAGTGCTGAGACAGTGGGAGCTGCCTTGTTTGGCTGACATGGCTATGGTGTGGGATCTTTCCTGGTGACAACTTGCTGTTGTGATTGCAAAGTGGTTTCTTTCAGTAAACAAGACCCTCCCTTCCTCCTGAACTTTTCTGTCACACAAATTCAACACTCACCTGTTTGCCCAGCTTTGTAAACAGGCTTGTCTGTCTGTACAAATGTCCGCGGCTCATAGCTTTCCAAAATTACATTCTTGCTATCCTCTGTGGTGATGTTTGGCCCTGATCTATGGACTGTGACCTTGATCAGTGGAGGAGAGTTGAATGCAAATTCTGTGTCTGCAACCTGCTCAAAAAATACACCACGTCAGATCAATATCGCACCACAGGAGCAGGAGGCCATTCAGCCCCGTCCGCGAGTCTGCTAGACAGCAACAGGAAAAGGCCACTCAGCCCCAATTTGAGCATACTGCACACTAAGAAGAGGAGGTCATTCAGCCCCTCCTTGAGCCTGCTGTACAGTAACAGGAGGAGATCATTCAGCCCCTTCAACAGTCTGCTGCACAGTAACAGCAGGAAGCCATTCAGCTGCTCGATTCCATTATGCAGGTAAAGTAAGAGCCATTCATGTGACCGAGAAGAATGCAAAGCAGAACAGGCCATTCTGCCACTTCACCTTCTCCATCATTTCACGAGATCACGGTCGATCTAGCTGTGGCCTGTACTCCACGTTCCTGACTCCAATAACCAGTGAGTCCCTTGCTGTTCAAGAATTTATTGAATTCTGCCATTAAAAAAAAATTTGCTGGTCTCCGTTGATGTCTGGGGAAAGGAGCTGCACAGACTCATAACGCTCTATCCCAGAGTCATCACAAATGTAAGATTAAATCAAACTGTCCAAAGTCCCCAATTTCCTGACTGACCAACTCAGGTAATAAAAACTCTCATCAGGTTTCTGCAATAAACAAGAAAATCACTGTTTATTGCAAACATTATATGGAAGCAATGCCAATGAGGAAATATGAATTGCAAAGTTATAACTCCACAACTTATACTCCATTCCTCCTTAAAATCCTCCCTTCACAAAGAATAGGCACACTTTTGCTCTCAATGTTCCAGGGAATATAGTTAAGTCTCTATTGTCCCAGAGAGCTGTAGGACTGTAGAGAGATGGCTGGTGGTGCGTTTAACCTGAGGGTCACCATGCCTCAGGCAACAGAAGGGCTTAATAAGGTAACTTCATGGTAACTTTTTAGTTCCAGGGAATACGTAGCATTGTATACAATTCATAACTTGCTCCAGTAAACCTAGACTTTTTTTTTAAACTGCAGCCATCTCTCTCTCTCTCTCCTCCCATGGTCTCAGAGAAGGCAGAGAAACTCAACAGGTCTGGCAGCATCAGTAGAGAGAGAGAGAAAAACAGAGTTAACGTTTTGAGTCTAATGTCACTCTTCCTCAGAACCGTTCTGATGTTAACTCTGTTTATAGTAGGGAGTAGTGACATCTCACTGCACGTGTTCAAAGTGCTGGTGAGACATATTTGGAGCACTGTGAGCAGGTCTGGTCTTCTTATTTAAGGAAAGATATTATTTCATTGGAGGCAGTTAAGAGAAGGTTCACTAGGATGATTCCCAGTATGGAGGGATTGTTTTATGAGTTAAGGCTAAACAGGATGGAATACTATTCACTGGAGTTTACAAGAATGAGAGATGATCTGATTGAAATATATGGGATTCTTAAGGGGCTTAACAGGGTAAATGCTGAGAGGATGTTCCATAATGGGAAACAGTCTAGGACTGCAGGGCATAGTCTCAGAATAAGGGGGCACCAGTTGGAGACTGAGATGAGGAGGAATTTCTTCTCCGAGGGTTGAGAGACTTTGGAACTTTTTGTCACAGAGAGCTATGTGGGAGCAGAGTCCTTGCGTACCTTTAAGGCTGAGATAGATTCTTGATCAGTCGGGGAATCAAGGATTATGGGGAAAAGGCATAAAAAAGCTATGTGTGTGTGTGTGTGTGTGTGCGTGAGTGCATGTGTGTGCGTGTGTGTGTGTGAGAGTGTGTGTGTGAGAGTGTGTGTGTGTGCATGCGTGTGTGTGTGTATATGTGAGTGTGTGTGTGTGCGTGCGTGAGTGTGTGTGCGTGAGTGTGTGTATGTGCATGAATGTGTGAGTGTGTGCGTGTGTATGTGAGTGTGCATGTGTGTGTACATACAAGCGTGTGTGTGCGTGAGTATATGTGTCAGCATGTGTGTGTGCATGTCTGTGCGCGTGTGTGTCCACGTGTTGCGTGTGTGTGTGTGTGCCTGCACGTGCGCGTATGTGTCTGCGTGTGTGCCTCTGTGTGTCTGTGTGTGTGCCTCTGTGTGTGTGTGCTTGTGTGTGTGCGTGCATGTACGTGTGCGTGTGTGCACACGCATGTGTGTGCGTGTGCATGTGTGTCTGTGTGTGTGCCTCTGTGTGTGTGTGTGTGTGCGCGTGTGTGCATGTGTGTGCACGCATGTGTGTGTGTGTGTGTGTGTGTGTGTGTGCATGGAGACAATTCGGGAGTTCTACTCCCCCTCAGTGTGAGGAAGTCCTAACTCTTGTCACACATGAATGATCTAGACTCAAATTGGGAGGACTGACCACCTTCAAACAGATACTCTCAGCTCTCAGGGGCTGGGGGAAATTACTTCTCTGTATTGATATTTTACAATTCTCAAACCGTCTCGAACAGATTCATTCGGCTGCCCCGCTGAAAATGCATTGAGTCTGTGTGCTTGTCCTCGTAGGCTGTGGGCCATTCACATGGAGACATTCCAGGGCCAAAACGGTGGGTATAACCTTCCCGGGTGCAGAACATCTCACACCCCAATCCACCAACCCCTTCACTGAATGGGTCAACCATCTTCAAATTCATTAACACATGATGACAGGCTGCTGTCCTGTGTCAGTGTGAAGACCAGGATCAGTGACAAGCTGCTGTCCTGTGTCAGTGTGAAGACTGAGCTCAATGACAGGCTGCTGTCCTGTGTAAGTGTGAAGACCAGGATCAGTGACAGGCTGCTGTCCTGTGTCAGTGTGAAGACCAGGATCAGTGGCAGGCTGCTGTCCTGTGTCAGTATGAAGACCGGGCTCAGTGACAGGCTGCTGTCCTTTGTCAGTGTGAAGACCGGGATCAGTGACAGGCTGCTGTCCTGTGTCAGTGTGAAGACCGGGAACAGTGACAGGCTGCTGCCTTGTGTCAGGGTGAAGACTGGACTCAGTGACAGGCTGCTGTCCTGTGTCAGTGTGAAGACTGAGCTCAGTGACAGGCTGCTGTCTTGTGTCAGTGTGAAGACCGGGCTCAGTGACAGGCTGCAGTCCTGTGTCAGTGTGAAGACTGAGCTCAGTGACAGGCTGCTGTCTTGTGTCAGTGTGAAGACCGGGATCAGTGACAGGCTGCTGTCCTGTATCAGTGTGAAGACTGGGATCAGTGACAGGCTGCTGTCCTGTCAGTGTGAAGACTGAGCTCAGTGACAGGCTGCTGTCCTGTGTCAGTGTGAAGACTGAGCTCAGTGACAGGCTGCTGTCCTATATCAGTGTGAAGACCGGGATCA